TTTCTACAATGTAAGGGGTGGGAGCCGGATATATATATATATATATATATATATATATATATATAAATGTGCATGTATGTATATATATAAATGTGTGTATATCTATATATATATATATATATATATAAATGTGCATGTATCTATATATATATATATATATATATAAATGTATGTATGTATATATATAAATGTGTGTATATATATATATATATATATATATATATATATATATGTATATATATATAAATGTGCATGTATGTATATATATAAATGTGCATGTATCTATATATATATATGTATATATATATATATATATATATATATATATATGTCTGTGTGTGTGTATATATATATATATATATATATATATTAGAGAAAAGTGACTGGAATTGCTTTCATTTTGTTATATTTATAGACAAAGGTTGCTCACTATCTGAGGTAAAACATTTATAGATATAGACGGTAGAACTGCTTAGTGATATGGTTACTTATACTTATATATACACTTATATGTGTTGTGAACTTCAGACCCTGTGTCTCTACCCTATCAGACCTATAGTTTCTTTGGCAGGGGACACTTCTTAAAAGACTGAATGTTTGTATATATATATATATATATATATATATATATATATATATAGTTTTATTGTATGCTTTATTTATGGATAAAAATGGGTAGAGGGACAGTATATATAAGCAGAAAAGTAGACACTGAAGTTAACACCAAACGGTAATAATCTGTTTCATGTTTGAATGCAATCCTCAGACATGAAGATTGGGCTGAAGCATCAAACAGACTGTTGCTATTTGGTGTTGACCTCAGTGTCCACTTTTATATAATATGTACAAAAGAGAAGATATATTAAAATTACAAAAACTTCTATTTCGATATACTTTATCAATGTACTGAGAAATATCAGAAAAAAAAATTATCTCAATGTATTATTATTATTGTTGAAATAAGATTAAATATTTCATTTAAATTCAAAATACCATTATATTTATTAATATTGGTATATTTATTATATTTATGGAGGAAGAGTGCTCCGTATTGGAGAGAGTGTTTTTAGATAATAATAAAAAAAGTGTGCCATAAATAAGATAATGACAAAAGAATTAATGAAAAAAATCCGCGTTACTAAAAATGAAGAGTGAATATGTACATGATATTTCTGGTGACGCAATGTTGTTTTCTTTTTTATTGGATGTCATTATCCCTTATCAAGTTAGAAATCTGAGACTCTTTACCTCATACTGGGTGGAAACATTTAGGCTTATCTCATTTTCAATCAATAGCTACCTTGTTTCATTCAATTCATTTGAAATGCATTTGCCCAGGGAAGAAATACATTATTTGTCTTACTCTATTTTGTATTAAAATATGGTGTTAACAGATGCTTTTGCCATTATTTGACCAAGAGATTTATATTGGTAACAAAGATCTATTGTTAATGTATATGTTGTCTATATGAATGTTATTGAAAATAATTCTTCTTTTAATATTTGGGAATGAGAAAGAGTGAAGGAAGGTTTCTTTTTTTAAAATCCCTCATCATGCAAATCCTAGCAGACTTGACCAGGGAAATTGAGCAAGTATGGAAAAATGTGTCCCTGATAAGATGGTTTTTCTTATGACACCACTTTTTTTAAAACTATTTTTGGGAATATCTGTCTATACCTCTGAGATGAGGTATTATAATTACTTACATTATCTACACTCAGGCTGTTATCTTCATCTTCATTGCCATATTCCCATTTCAGCTGTTGTACACTTCGGCCTTCTTCAGGCAATTGGAATTTTGAACTGAACCCTTTATTTCATCCACCAGGGCAGACATTGGTTAGATCCAGTGACTAAACCCAAAGAGTTGTGAGTTCAATCCCAGGACACAACGGTAGGGAACCAAATTTGGAGAGTTGAGTTAAAGGGAATAAGTGAGATATCTGGAAGAGGCATGGGAGTGGAACTAGAACAGTCTACCCTAGTGGGCGAAATAAATTGCTTGGTTCGATATTCCAATCACCTGGAGAAGGCCGGAATGTACAACAGCTGAAATGTGAATATGACAATGAAGATGAGGATAACAGTCTGAATAATGTAAGTATTTTTGGGAATGCTTGTTTTAAAAAGCAATGATTAGAATTGGAATAAAATCTAAATATATGATGAAAGTGAATTTATATATTTTTTTTGTTCTTGAGAATTTGCAACAAAATATTAAACACTATTATGCTATTAGATTGTTTATTTACAAGAATAGTTTTATATTTACAACATTCTAAAAACTAATTCAGTTAGAACTAATGCAATGCAATATTTATCCTTTACCAATTAATAAAAAATAAATGTGAAAACAATTTTTTATTCATAAATTTATAAAAATTTACTAAATTATAAAAATGTGAACCAATTATAAGAAAATTCTTATTATTTACAATTTTATAAAGATTTAATCAATTGGCAATTAGCCAATATTTTGCCAACCATTCCAGTGAATAATATGATAAATAAGCTGTGTAAATAAACACTCTAATAAATAGTGTTATTTTTGTTATCAATTCTCAAGAATAAAGAAAACCTATAAATTCACTTTCATGTGTTTCGGTTTTATTCCAATTCTATTCATCACTTTTTAGAACAATAAACATTGCCAAAGAGTGAAACTAGTTAAAAGAGCTGAATTAATTGGAAAAAAAAGTTCTTTTGACATGATGTCTTATTGTGGTTATGTTTGTCCATGTTTGCCGGAAATTGATTTACTATGACAACGATGAATGAAAATCTAGAGTTGAGTAGACATGGAAAAGTGTATTAATAAAAGCAGAAACAAACTGAGTAGACAGATGTTTATAGAGAAGTAGATATGAGCAGATTGGGATAAAAGGAAGCAATTTGGTAAGTTGATAGATTAGAGATAATCTCACCCATTTCTCTTTCCATCTTGATCATATGTCAAAGACCTCTCTCTTTCAATTTACCGATATATAATCTATAATCATATAGGAAAGATCTTCCTCTCTCATTTTGCCAAAACAACTTCACCTACCAGAAATCTTTCTCTCACTTAAAATTTACCAATAGATGATCATGTATATGTAAAGGTTAATTGTCCCAAGAACTGATGTTAAGATTTTTTGCTAAGTCATTGCTAGTCTAGTGCTTTCCATGGACTATCAAAACCATAGTAAAATTCTTAAGACCAAATTTTGGAACAAGTAGCGCTTAACATAATAAAAATTCTTATGGTCTGGTTGAAAGACTAAAAGGCATAAATATGGCAGAAGTCTACAAGAAGTCTTCCTCTTGCAGGGTGAGTACAGAGTAATTGGCCATGGTTAAATGTAACTAGGAGAGATGCATCAACAAACAACTGATAAAGTTTTCAATAAACAATAAGAAAAGAAAGAAACGAACAGGGTAAAAATAATACTGAGCAAACAATAAATCTGCAAGACAAAAGTAGGAAAAGCAACAGTAATGAGACAAAAAAGGTTCACAAATTAAGAATCATGTTAAAACACAAAATACAGACAGGTGATTGCAGCATTCTGATCTCAAGACAAGAAAGAACAGAAATTGGCTCAGAAGAAATCCCAGTATTCCATTTGTATGATTTTTGTCTAAATTTGGAGAAGGGATGTTTTTGCAGTCATTTCAACAAGGATTGAAACCAACATGTCACTCTATGAATTTACCAACTGATGATCTTTTATTAATCTCCTTAATCATTTGAGCTTGAAATTCACAAGTGATTAGATTTTTTTTAATCATTTCACTTGAATCAAGGTGATAATGCCACTAAGATTCAAGGGGTGACTGGTAGTGAAAGAGAATGAGAATACTTTAGGAGGAGGAACTGAAAATACAAGCAAGGGGTAAACCGTTAATCCTGTTCAAGAAACAGGAGAGGAATTTGTATTGGGAAATAGGCGCACCTATATCCTCCCATTAAAAAAAAAAATTACTTGGTAAAATTTTGGAGTTTAAGTGGAGATTTTCAGGTAAGTACAGTCAAGTATGTAACCACCATTTCTTAATGAATGTTAAAAAATTATTTAAATTTTATGATAGTTCAAGTTTTGTTGTCTCTTAATAATGATGAAAAAAAACTTGGAAAACATTCAGGTAATTTATTTTACATTGAACCACAAGGGCGAGTAAAAAGTTAATATATTTTTATATATACAACTATATAAAAATGTCATTAACTAATTAAAGGAAAGAAAAAAATAAAGTCAGCATTCCCAAACCGATGTGGAGATGATTTTTCCATTTGGACAGATGTTTTGACTTTTGCTAAGTTGGTTCCTAAGAAGTGGAATTATTTTGTAGGTTTCATACCATTACCCTGCCAAGCCTATCCTTGTGTGTGTTTGGGGGTGAGGTCAAACATGGAGAGAGAGTGTGTGGATTTGCCCATTCACATTAAGGCATATCAAAATCAAACAAAATATTTTAATCTTTTCTTTAACTCTATTATATGAAATCTTTGATATGAATGGGGAATTCCTTTTCTTAAGAGACTCCACTCGACACCAAAAATGATCATTTCCACAGATTTGCAACCACACACATGAATGATGGCAAGATTCAAATTAAAATTAGCACTGATAAGAGATTAATTAAAGTGAATTTGTTATTTGATTGTTCTTTGAGTCTGATTGTGCGCAAAACAAAAATTTTTATTGTAAAATTGATTGGATGGATTGAGTGATTGGATTGATTGGATCTTTTTTTTTACAGCTTATCAACCCTTTGTAGATTATTTACATCCAGAAAGTATTTTTAGGTTGTAACAATTTTCTTTTGTTATTTAACAATAATTTAGTAATAAAAATCTTACTGATTAACTGAGATCTTGAGGAAGGAGAGGTAGATTCATACTTTTGCCAAGGGTATTTGAAAGTAAGAGAATATATTGAACCCAACTAGAATTGAAACTCGGCTGTCAGATTAACAGTAATCAGCCATTATCCATTACACCACTTGCACATCCAAGCTTACAGTACCTGGAATTCCCAAGTAGTCACCCATCTAGGTACTGACTAGGCTCAATGTTGCTTAACTTTAGGGATCATACGAGAATAGGTGTTTCAATGTGATGTGGCCATAAGCCAAAATATTTGCTAATCTGACACCAAGAAGTATGACCAAACAAGCAACAAATATGTTGGATATAATAAAAAAAATAAATTTAAAGAAAGCAAAGTGTATATAGCTGAATCTACTCTGTTATTTCATCTATAGTTCATGTGGAATTGGACATGAAAACAAGAAACAAAATTTAAAATCAGCTTACTCATGACTTTTTTTAAGTTTGATAACAGTTACATTTCTGGTAAATTCCTGATTCCTATTTAAATTCAATAATTTTAGTTTATAATAAAAGAAGATAGGCTCCAAAATTTAAGAAGCTGAAAAAATTAACTTAGTATGATGACAGAATTAATAAATTAATTTTCCTTTAATCTTGAAGCAAAAATGAAAAATATATTTTATCAGAACAACTCTGCAAAGTTTAGTGCAAAATTTAAGTACTGAACCAAATTAAAAAAGTGCTTGCCTCATTCCTGAAAATATTTGACAAGCAATTTCTCAAATTCTAAATAAACTCTGAAATCAAGATATTAATCATGTATTGCACTTTCTATGTTCATAATCATTCATTTGTTTCTGATGATTCTATTTTTGCTCTCTGGTTTTCTACACCATTTCCTTCTAATTCTGATTTGCTTTTTTTTTCATTACTTGTAGATAGCTTTTCTTACCAATAAGTGAAGTCATTTCTAGCTTCATTTTCCATTACAAATAGAAATAAACCTGAAATAAATATTTATTAATTCTTGTTTTTAACTTTATCCTCTCTTGAAGATAAAGTACATTTCTGATTCCCTTATTTGATCTTTGATGGCCTTTGCCAGATGAAATGAAACAGAATTATCTGCTAAATTTCTAAAACAGAAACCACTTTCTTTGCTGAGGATATCCAACTATTGTTCTCTCATCCATATTGTATACTAAAAATGAATCCATAAAAAAAACTGAAGCATTAGAGAGAGATGCATTAAGATTTTTATGAAATACATTGACTCACTTTTATCTACAATCAACGGCACAGATAGTTCATACCTTTTTGTACATTTTGAGAAAGATTCAAAATCTATTTGTTTACTTAAGAAAAATTTTGCAACAATTTTATCATTTTCTGATAATATAAAACATTTTACTGTATGTTAAGATTTTTTGCTAAGTCACTGCTAGTCTAGTGCTTTCCATGGACTATCAAAACCATAGCAAAATTCTTAAGACCAAATTTTGGAACAAGTAGCGCTTAACATAATAAAAATTCTCATGGTCTGGTTGAAAGACTAAAAGGCATAAAAATGGCAGATGATTGTCTACAAGAAGTCTTCCTCTTGCAGGGTGAGTACAGAGTAATTGGCCATGGTTAAATGTAACTAGGAGAGATGCATCAACAAACAACTGTTTGTTTACAGATAGTGCCCCACACACCTTATTTACAAATACATTTCCCTGTTGTCAAACCCAGAAATAAGTGTCAAAAATTAAAAAATAATGAGATTAAAAATTTGGATATGACAAAGAAAAACTCCAAAGTGTTTCTTGTAAGTAAAAATATATAAGTTCTTGGAAGGAAAGAAAAATAATGTTTAATTTACTAAAATCTGCTATAAAATAATTCCTGCATTTGTCCTTTAACCTCCAGTATACTAAAATGTGAGTTATTTATTATTAATATTATTGTAGTTAGTATTGTGTTCTGTTTAAAAATGGTGCTTTATCACAGGTATTTTTGGGAAAAATAATGGTCACTATAGTATTGAGATAAGAAGCATAAATCGCTATATCCAAATCTATTTATATTAATCTTTTGTAAATGGGGAACTACTTAAAAGTTTAGGTAGTTTGAACAGACTGATCAATCTATTGATCCATCAGGTTGGCCATTGTTTCTTGTGAGACATTTCACACATTTAAGGAAACTCATTTTTTATCAATTTTTCATTCTGTGAGGAAGTCATTTTGTGATTTAAGTAAGAATATATAAAATTTCATGAAAGACTACATTCCTTTACAAAGATGTTGGGTGTTAAAACAGTTGACAGCTTGAAAGGCAGAATCAGCTAATCAAGTTCAAATCCTGACTAATTTTCTTCTTCAATGGTATGAATCCACTTCTTATTGCACTTTCTTTCATTCTCAGCCATCATGACGGGAAAGTCTCATCACTGGCATACCACTTGTTATTGACAGAGATAAGAGTGGATTCTATATTCTTAACACTACTTTCTTGCCTAGACAAAAGCTGCTACTTCCAATGATAACCATGACAGGGTTCAGTATTCAATATTCTGCCTATCTTATTAGTTATCTAGAGCATTACTAAATTGTGGGTTGTTGTTTTTCTGTTTTATTTTGAATGTTTTTCCTATCATTTAGACAAGTGGTTATTTTATGTTACCTTACAGTCCCATCAAATATAGTTACTGCATTTGTATGTCAGTATTTATGTAGCTGTATAAACATATATACTGGCATATATATACATATTTATGTGTGTGCATCCCACACACACACACATACATATATATGCAATCCCCTCCAAAAGTATTGGAACAGCAAGGCCAATTCCTTTGCTTTTGTTGTTCATTGAAGACATTTGGGTTTAAGATCAAAAGATGAATATGGAACATGAGTTCATAATTTGCAGCTTTAATTTCCTAGTATTTACATTTAGATGTGTTAAACAACTTAGGACTTACCACCTTTTGTATCAGATCACCCTATTTTTAGGTGAGCAAAAGTAAAGGAACAGATAGTTGTAAAGAAAATAATTTTTAATATTTGGTTGTATAACCTTTGCTAGCAATAAGTGCATCAAGCCTGTGATCTACTGACATCACCAAACTGTTGCATTCTTCATTTGCAATGCTTTTCCAGACTTTTAAGACAACCTCTTTCAGTTCTTGGTTGATTTGGGGTGGTTTCTTACTCCAGTCTCCATTCAAGAGATAAAATACATGCTTTATTCCCTTATGGTCCAGTGATTGACATGGCCAGTCTAAAACTGTCCATTTTTTTCCCTCTGATGAAGTCCTTTGTTGTGTTGGCAGTATGTTTTGGATCATTGTCCTGCTGCATGATAAACTTCCACCTGATTAGTTTGGGTGTATTTCTCTCTAACTTGACAGACAAAATGTTTCTGCAGATTTCTGAATTCATTCTGCTGCTAGCATCATGAGTTACATCATCAATAAATATAAATGAGCTTGTTCTGGAATCAGCCATGCAAGCTCAAGCCAAAACACTGCCACTACCATACTTCACAGATGAGCTTGTATGCTTTGAATCATAAGCAGATCCTTCCTTTCTCTGCACTTTGGCCTTTGCATCATTTTGATAAAGATTAATTTTGGTCTCATCAGTCCATAAAACATTTTTGTTGCTCATCTCTGCACTTCCTTGCAAATTTCAATCTGTCCTTCCCATTTTTACTGCTGATGAGGAGTTAGCATCTTGTGATATGGCCTCTATATTTCTGCTATACAAGTCTTTGAATGCTGGATTGTGAAAACTTCACCTCTACACCTTGGAAGCTGTTGGTGATGTCACTGAATGTTGTTTTGAAGTTTTTCCTCACAGCTCTCACAATGTTTCTCTCATCAATTGGTGTTGTTTTCCTTGATCAAACGGTTCTATGTGTGTCCCTCAGTATACCAATAGTTTCTTTCATTTTCAGGACATTCCAAATTGTTGTTTGGCTATGCCCAATATTTGTCCAATGGTTCTGATTGATTTTCCTTCTTTCCTCAGCTTCAAAATGGCTTGCTTTTTTTAGAAATTATCACCCCAAGCAAGGTGGAAGTGCCACTAGAATGCAAGGGGTTACAGAAAGTGGGAGCAAGAGTAAAGAGGTGTGAAAGAGGAAAGGATGAAGAGAAGGATGGAGAATTGATCAAAGCATCTGGATTTGTCAATTGGCATTGCATTTGAATAGTTAGAGATTATAGCTATCAGGTCAGCAAGTACAAGGAAGACCGTTCCACAGACAGGAAGTGTGAGGCATGAAGCTGTTGGAGTAAAAGAGACAGCTACATTTAACCATTTCAACAGTGAAAGGGTGGGACTGAGATGCCGACCTAGTGACATATTTAAATTCATGCAGTTTGGGAACTAGTGAAAATTGCTCATGAAAGTATTTGTAGAAAAGACAGAGGGAGGTGACAGCACGTCTGTAAGAAAGCAACTGTAAATGAGATGCCAGATTGTTGCTTATGTTGGTTTATCCTTTTTAACAAGAAATGCAGCCTTCACAGGTGAAACCCAAAGTTAAAATAAGGGTTGCCATTCTGAGCTATTTAATATTTAAACTATCAGTCTAAAAGGCAACACCTGGGCAAAAAGAAATACCTGTCAGTCATATGTTCCATTAGATTTGCTCACTTAAAAAATTGGTGGTTTCAAATCAAAGGCATTATGTCCTAACTTGTTTAACATATCTAAATGTAAATCTGAGGAATTAAAAACTGAAGTTCTGAACTCTTGTCTTATATTACTCTTTAACCCATTATATTCCATTTTTAACTCGAATGACTTCAGTGAACAATGAAAACAAAGGAATTGGCCTTGCCCTTTTGGAGGAGACTAATATATATATATATATATATATATATATATATATATATATATATATATATATATATATATATGTGTGTGTTGTGTGCATCCCCACACACACACATAAGTTTAATGCAAATCTTGTCAATTGAACGTAAGGAAACAAATCAACTCCTGAGTTCTGCAATGCGGTAGGATCACTTGAGTACCACAGTTACCTGCAGAGGTATGTCACGCCCTGTTCAGACTGGATTTGAATTCAGAGTTTTCCTTCTCAGACTGATTGCCTCTTCAAGATCCCAGTATTCCTTGCTATTTAACCCATATCTGTTGTGGAGAATTTATGGACTCAGAATTCAGAATTGGCTCACTGATTTCTCTCTCCCTAGTCACCATTATGATGGTTTCTTCTATAAATGTAGGACACCAGAGAACACATTTTCTTAAGATTTCTACAATGCACCAGTTAATAG